TCAAGCAAAAGTAATAACAAACTAGACGAGGACTAAATATGTCGGACCGCGCGTTTCAAACGATATGCGGCAGCACGATATAATTCTATAGGGACGATCGAGTAAACGAAATTTAAATACTTCGGAGGAAAAAGGGCGATCCGAAGCGGAAGAATGATAGTCCCGAGGGAGGAATACGTACGATTCCTATCGTCCGATAAGGAGGAATTCTTTCGTGACCGACGAGCGTAATTTAAAGCGAGAACGAGATGCGTCGCGCGACAACTTCAAAAATTATTTTCTAATAGAGAAAAACCCTTGCTCTAATCTATTTTATTTCGTCCCCTCTTATAGACTCAATATTCATACGTATATTCATGCTCCATGTTGGACGTTCTACGTAGTTTTTAGCTGATTCTTTACAATTTATCACGCGTTATCATGTTTCAATCACATTTTATTTAATAAGATATATATAATGATATCAGAAATATATATCAAAGCAGACATTATTTGCAATTAAATTCGCTTTGGATTAAATAAAGAAGGTCGAAACGAATATTTGGTATTAAAAAATATGATTTACAGGATGAATAATTAGAAAATAAGTCCATCACGTATGTTACATTGTCGAACAAACAATGCAATACTGTCGAACAATTTTATCGTGTCCCACTAGATTCAAATTATCCTGTCCAACATTCAGAACCTCTTCTCACTAGACTTCAGACTCAAATAGATAAAAATTTCTATATGAAAAATATATTTTGAATTATTTCTTATTATCTTAGAGTTATCTCTTATTATCTTTATCAGTACATATACTATCTCAATCGTTTCCAAAATCCATCGAAATATTTGTATGTCGATGTATCCATCGACAGTTGTCGTAAGTATATCATACGTATATTTAAGAATGGCTATCGTCTTTCTTTTCCTTTTTATAAGGGGGTTATAAAAGGACACGTCGTTGTAACATATGTCCTCATGTGTGAGTGTCCGTCCACGACCCTGTAATATTTTAGGGTGCCTTCCCGGCCTTTAAAAAGTAGCCGGTGCATATGTCGGCGCAAGCGACATAATGTTATCAAGCTGTCCAGAAGGACGCGCCGCCGCTGCCGCCAACGTCGCCGTCGTCGCTGCCACGCAAGGACGAGGTTCTCGGGGGACCACGTCCTCGCTCTCGTCCACTTCGTCCTTATTGATATACCAAATAAACACACTTGGCAGCTAGGCCACGGCGGCTTTGCGAGGCAAATAGCTTCGGAAGAGAATCCCCTATACGTCCCGGAAGATATCTTTCCTTCCTTAAAGTCGACATACGTGCTCGACGCCGATAACAAAGTCTTAAAAAGGAGAGTCGAGTCTCGTTAAATTATAATATTTGGTGAAGAGAAAAGAATTCGTCGAGTTATAACTCCATGAATTCTAACAAAGATATTTCATACAAAATTATAAACGACGATAGTGGCATTTTACCAGAGACCTGCAGGTTACAAACAAATGGCATGTACGTGCAAATGTATTGTGAAATACAAGTCATGTATACTGAATTATACTGAATTGAATCGTAAGGAAGAAATGAGTGTTGTGCCTGGCGAAACCGCCTCCAGCTTAATTTCTGGTGGAGAAATCGCTTCTTTCTTAAGGTACCGTACGTTGTAATGAGATTGCTTCATTAGGCTTGACTTCGCACCGCGGCAAAAAGAGATTTTACCATCCAGAGTCTAAGGAAGTAATCAATAAATTTTTAACATCGCGAGTCCCATCGGTATTCCTCTTTGTTCTTAACGACTTTTGTAAGTGCGGATGATCTTAAATTATTTCTTGTTATAACATAATATTTTTGTCCCGGTGGATCAATTTTTTTATGATAAGCGATTATCTTTGTGAGTAATTTAGACGCGCATTTTTCTTAACGTGTAATTAAATATTTGTATTAGTTCTCATACAACTTGTGAATGTATGTTATTTTGTGTCTTGACATCCGCCTCGGTAGATAAATGAATTTTAATTGAAGCCTCGACTACCGTTACGGTATGACGAATTTCTATTAAGATTTAGGATCGTGCGACGAGAGGCAGTCACATCGTGCATTTAGTCTTGGACACACTTTAAGATGATACAAGGGACAGACACTCATGTTTGACACTCGTCTTTCACGCTGTAAAACCATCCTGCGAAGCTCGGCACACCGACGAAGCGTCATTTACCTCCCGAAATCGCTTCTAGAATCTTATTCGGTCTCCGGTTTCACCCTCATGGCTTTTAAGTTTCGACCCTTATCGACCGCCACGAACTTAGCGCACCTCGCCGAGCGACGGTTATCCAGTAAATAAAGATGAGTAGTTTTCCCGACATCGCTCTCTCGCGCACACGCACGCACACGATCGCGAGCGTGTGCGCGTGCGGCAGCGAGACGGGTTTTAAATTCCGCGAGTCAAAGCGATGTTTGACATGGAAATGTTGAGCGATGCATTAAACATACCGCGCCGAGTGCCTCCCCCGTCTACGTCGTCTTCACTGCGATCGCAATCCCCCCCAGAAAGACGAAAACCGCTCTCCACGGCGATTCGCAGGCCCGATCGTACGGCCCGGCAGACGTGGGTCCCCGATGCGATTTTTCTCGCGTTGCTTCAGCGATGTTTATTTAGGCAAACGAAAGGTACCAGCGGCAATTCCACTAGTTCCCGGCCTTCACTATCGTGGATTCCCACAAAGCAGCTTTCGGTCTGAATCGATAGCCATCACGATGCGAGAGGAACGATAGGTCCTCAGCTGTGTCCGTTTGCTCCTATTTGCTTTGAGAACGATAAGAATGTGTTATTCTTCGACCACATGCTTTCCCATGAATCTCTCCCATAAATTATCCGCAGCTAATATTGTGAGATATTCTTATATTTTTATGGGCCTAACGTGTTATTACAATCTAAATTTTAGTAAGCTTTTCGGAAAACAATTTGATAGTATCTCCAAGATTACACAGAATTTTGTAATTTTCGAGAACATAAATATAAATAAGAGACTGATAAGATATTGATAGTGGTCTAAGTGTAAAGAGAACGACATTCGCTCGGCGTTTCGCTGCGAGTTATCACGCGATGGTGCATTATTTTGAGTAGATTTTAGATGATATTGTGATATAGAGTGGCTACACACATATAATTTCACGGTGAGACGAGAATAGCTATCCGGATTTCTTGCGGCTTTCCGTTAACGTGACATGCAAAGCTGTACACCGCCGGTATCATTATCGTCGGCGAATTGCAAGGTGTGGAGCAAGATCAGCGTCGCAAATTCCCGAGTTGTGATTGGCGAAGCAGTTGCCGAGGGTCGGAAGTATGCACCTGCGAGGCGCAATTTTACTGGATCTCCCCATAAAAGGAACTCCCTCCATTGTCCAAATGACATCAAGCTTATTGCATTATTTAAAGAGCCTCGCTTTAAGGCCGCTTTAAGCCACTGACCCTCGATTGTCGAAGTACTGCTGCCGCCGCCGTCGCCGTTGCGAGGGCACAAACTGGGTTTCTCACGGACGAATCGCGAGTGCGTGTGTTCTCCTACGAATTCGACGTTCCTTCGAGACGTGAGTGTCACTTAGAGAAAGATAGGAAACGCCGCAGGACTTTATTATTAAACGTTTTCACTTTTTATATGTCATTTTCAGATCTCGAAACGATTTTCATGGAAAAATTTGCCAACAAGAACACGACGACAAAATGTTGGGTTTATGGAATGTATTGTCACAAGACAATACAACGTTATATTAATATTGCGCAATATCTTTTACATTAATCCTGTAAATATACCATCGAACTTGAAGGAGCAACGAGGATCTTGAGATGTAACACTACACAGGCTATTGACCTACCTTAATGCTACAAATCTTTACGGCTCACTGCCGTTTCTTACATGATAACTTACGATGATGAAACAATGACGGATTATGATGTCTTAAAATGAATTTTAAATTTCGACTCGAGTATTTTCTTATTGTTAATGAATTCATCAAACGTTTATTAAAATCGAAAATATTCCGTGGAATAAACAATTTAATACCTGGAATTGTCGTTGTTCGCATCTTAACGCATCCTGCCGTCCTGCTTTGTGGTTTTAGATATTTATTGGACACTCATTAATTACTTGCGAATACACTGATATTCTTAGGTACGATTTGATCAACGCGTGGGAAGTAACGCAATACCAATCATGAGCATTTGGAAAGTCACTAAAATATTTTAATTATATAACAGAAATTGTAGGCAACACATCGATATACCAATATGTACGTGTCACTCTTCGGCTCATGAGAAACTGACTCAGTCAAGGACAAATACACGACATATATATAAATATCGAAAAAATTTTCAAAAAGGACAAAATTACCCCCACTATTTTTGTTGCCTTCCACCAATCAATGACGAATATATTCAATGGCCGAAAAATCAAGATAATTGATACTCTGGAAATTTATATTGTTGTAATTCAATTATTAAATTCCCCCAAATAATCCGGACAGTTGCATGCGCGGTATGTATAAAAAATACTCGTAGCGTCGATTCGATCGATCAATATCTGGTAACGTGTGATTATCTTACATCACCTTCGTATTCGACTCGTGTTATCATTATATGTCATCATTCTTTTTTAGATTACTTAAATTCTTTAAATTTAACTCTTTAAATTCTTCTTCTTTACAGCAATATTTTATCTACGGTTAAATAAGTTACATAATTAATATATTGTTTAATAAAATTCAAAATTAAAACACATTAAATACAGATAGATTATTAAAATAATCGAATATTAAATAATTCTTAAATAAGCACTTTTTTACATATCAACGATGATAAGTAATTATTTGTAACATAAAACGCAATAGCCTGTATAGTATTATATCTAGAAATTCTCCATTAGTCATTTAAATTCGACGAAAGGTGTAGAGTAATGATAACGTAAAAACAAAATTTCGATTCAAAATTTCGATTATGTACAAAGTTGCTTGGTAATTTGTTTCACAGAATTTCTACTCACCGGGCGAGATGCCAAGCTTCGCATGCATGCTACTGGGGCTTCTGTGATCGGGGGTGGTAACAGGGGCTGCTATGGGTGGCGACAGGTGGGGATGTGCCAGTGGCCCACCACCTGTCGTCGTCGTGGTAGTCGTTGTGGCACAGGGATTTAAGGGTGATGTCCTCTTGAAAGACTGGTCGGTCCGCCACGCGACCTCACTGTCGCCTATCCAGACTTTACCTGCGCAAATCGGTCGAACGGGAATTAGAAACGCGGAACGAATACGGCAGCAGCATTATTGGTCTGGTATGTAATAATGTTGAACTCAACGTTATTGTTCCCTTGTATAAATACACTAGGATATAAATATATATTATATGCATATAAACTACAACAAAATTACACTATACAACGACTGAAATAATACGAAATCTCAACTTCGCAAGAAAGCAAATAAGCCCCGCTCAATCATATCTCTCCTTCGTTACTTGAATTGTTCTAAAATATTTTTCTCAAAGTATAACTGACATTTTTTTGGGAAGTAAATTCGAGCGAACATTGCCATAAATACCGCCTTTCATAAATGCAGAAGAAAAGGATACGCGATCTCTCTCGAGCAGATACTACTACGGTAATATCAGCCATGGAAGATCAAATTGCAAAAGAGGCTCTCGAGATAAATTCTATGCCCCGCGCACGTGTATTAATATAACGCACACCGTCGCGACTATACGTGTGCAGAAAATGGCTTCTCTCCCCCGAACGGACTCGCCGTAATTAGCGACCCTCTGAATCCCCTATCCCTGCCAGTTTTCCCAGTTTTCCCCCGTTTCCCTTAATTTCTGGGAACAATGCCTGGTTCTGGATGTTGTTCCAGGCTGCAGTGTCTAATTACACGGGGGCATACTGAGCTCCTCCTTTCTTTCCCGAATTTGTAAAGGCAATGTACAGGGTGTGTCGAAATTTACAGATGCACCATGAATCAGTGCTGTCGAAAGGCAAAACTTAATAGAGTTGCACATCACGACGAAACTTTTCTTAGCTGTAATAATAACGTTTCCTGTAAAAAATGCACGTAACGACTGTTAACAATAATTTAGATTTTTACGTAGTTGTTACCATGTAGTATGATTATCATTGTATATTATTATTAATTCAATTTGCATTTTGTTAATATATAAATGGTTATTTACGGTTAATTATATTATTAAAAAAAAATTATCACGGATAAAGAATTCACTAACTCCATATAATTTAATCCACATTAGCATTATTCATAAATAATTTTACTGTCATTCCTCACGATTAATTTTTGTTATATATGAAATCTCGAGTATCCCTGGGTCGTCGACCACCCTGTAGGTGGCTGCGTCTCGTATTTATGAAACACGCGAATACTATATCGTCCCTGCATGCGCGAAACATGACTCAGACTCGGTATTATTTGCCTGACGAATGATTTAGCCTGAGATACTTAGCTCACTCTTCCCCACTAGTCCCGCCAAACCCCTGCTTGCGCCGTCATCTCGCACCCTCTAGTAGGATGCTAACTTCTCTTCGTCCTTTTATCTGCCTCCTAACTACGACCGAAGGAGCGCGTTGCTCCAGAGACAGAAATATAGTAAATAGAAGACGAAAAGAGATGAGAGAGAGAGAGAGAGAGAGAGAGAGAGAGAGAGAGAGAGAGAGAGAGAGAGAGAG